AGCACTCTGACCACAGTACGTTCGAACTTTGAGGCAGATGGCTACAGCAGCAGAAGACCACACCGGTGCCACTCCTTTCAGCTAAGAACAGGAAACTGAGGCTACAATTTGCACAAGCTCATGGAAATTGGACAATAGAAGATTGGAAAAACGTTGCCTGGTCTGATGAGTCTCGATTTCTGCTGCGACGTTCGGATGGTAGGGTCAGAAATTGGCGTCTACAACATGAAAGCATGGATCCATCCTGCCTTGTATCAACGGTTCAGGCTGGTGGTGGTGGTGTCATGGTGTGGGGAATATTTTCTTGGCACTCTTTGGGCCCCTTGGTACCAATTGAGCATTGTTGCAACGCCACAGCCTACCTGAGTATTGTTGCTGACCATGTCCATCCCTTTATGACCACAATGTATCCAACTTCTGATGGCTACTTTCAGCAGGATAATGCGCCATGTCATAAAGCTGGAATCATCTCAGACTGGTTTCTTGAACATGACAATGAGTTCACTGTACTCAAATGGCCTCCACAGTCACCAGATCTCAATCCAATAGAGCATCTTTGGGATGTGGTGGAGTGGGAGATTCGCATCATGGATGTGCAGCCGACAAATCTGCGGCAACTGTGTGATGCCATCATGTCAATATGGACCAAACTCCCTGAGGAATGCTTCCAGCACCTTGTTGAATCTATGCCACCAAGAATTGAGGCAGTTCTGAAGGCAAAAGGGGGTCCAACCCGTTACTAGCATGGGGTACCTAATAAAGTGGCCGGTGAGTGTAGTTGGGTCTGTTCAGCTACTTTATCATTACCTTTTCTAACAAAGAAATTATTTGTAGATCAGTGCTTCAATAGTCCTTTTGTTTTTCAGCTTATCTCTCGTTAAACCCCTATTCAGCTTCGACAGATGTCCGCTCACACTGAGCCTCGTCCTGCTGGAGGTATCTTCCTGCTAAAAGGGAGTTTTTTCTCTCCACTGTTGTTGCATGCATTCTTCTCAGTGACAGACGGATCATTGTAAAGTCATCAACAACATAAAGGCTAATGTCTACAGTCATCACACGCTCACCCAGGAGGAGCAAATCCTGCAAAGCTGTTTTTCCTTAGATAGATCAATTTTAACCAATCTGTCTGTATGATCTGATCTGTCTCTTTAAATGCCTTTGTATGGACATTAAACAGGATGTCTTTTAACAAATGCTAGCTAACAGTTTTCCTGCCAAAAAATCCTCAAAGCTCCTTATCTCTGCAGCTCATGCAGAGATACAGTCGACTTCTTTGATACATCTTTAAATAATGATGCTGCGTCAAATTAAGTGGATGTTGCTTTTTTTTTCCTTCCATCTCTTTCTGATTTCCTTCCATTTTGTAGAACAGAAGATAAGAGGGATAGGGACCTGTTTAGGATGCAGAATGACCATCAAGGGTAAACCGCTTAGCAGGAATCTGGTACTAAAATATTTGTAGGATAATCAACTCTGCAAACGGAAAAGAAAAAACAACCTGAGCACTAATTGGGTGTTTAAACGAGGCAGGGGAGCTTTCAGCAGGTGAGATCCTCTCTTTACTGCCCTCCTCTCTGAGTATCCTTCCCACTGGGAGGGGAGGCGGGGGTCTCACCCTGTGCTTTATCCCTCAGCCAATCATCATCTCTTATAAATGAAACCCTACTGGAGGTACCATGCCAGTGAACGCTAATTATGCTCAGCAGGGGAAGTTGGCTGCAATTAGGCCACATGCTAAAACCTTTGCTTGTCCAACCTTCTACCTCACAGAAGGCTTTTTCAGGCTTTCGTCCTGAGCAGAAACAGCCGGCTCTTTAATTTGTGTTTGTGAGCAGGTGGGGGGACGAGGTGGGGTCTTGTTGCGCTGGGGGTTGGTTAGTTCAGGGGGTCCGGCCTCTGGTATTTAACAGTCTTTTGATTAGAATAAATCAGAGCACTTTCATCTCAGTAAAGGCTGCAGAGATCTAAAGGGCAGCAGCATTTCAGCTTTTCCAGCTCTGCTAGGGAGGGAAATCATTTGAACCTTGCACTGCATGGGTCCCTGTTGGCTAAGTGGAAGTCGAGGCTGTGGTAAACACCAAATTAACTCCCGATCACCTTCTTTTTGCAAATATGAACATATTAGTTATACAGTAATAAGGGAGTTTCGTTTTATTAATGTAACTTTGTTTACAAAAAATGCATCTGTTTGCATAGGTTGTGTGAAGATAAAACATGCCTTTGGATAGAGTGGTTTTAATGGGGTTAATAAATTACCATAATATTGTAAAACAGACCAATGACTTTACATTTATAAGCACGATCCAGCTTGCAGTTTCACATATTATTTTTTGTTAGTTTTACATGAACATTTTTACAATCACATGTAATCTTTACAATCATTTGTGTGTCATTAATCAATATGTATGACTTAATACAGAAAGGACTATAAATAAGAAAGAAAAAATCTGATTGTCAGCGTTGAAATGAGAATTATTTTGGAATGAAATGGGTACCTTAAACTTGAATTCTCCACTCCAACGGTTTCAAAAGTGACATCATAACTTTTAATAATGGCTTCAAGCTGACAAACAACATGAAGTTTGAAATAAAATGTAAAAAGTCCAGTTAACTTTAAAAAAAATCATCATTCATCCATCTAAGCATCTACTTAGAGAATAGATGTAAGATTTTCTGAGGTTACCATGACAACAGCTGAATACTATTACATTTCTTATTATCGATCGCGTGTAAAAAGGTCACAATGCTGTTTTTTTCCCACGTTTTCTTAATATAAGACATTCATAGTTGACAATGATCTGTAAACATTCTATTCTTTTTAATTTATAAATAGCTCAAATCGTTTCCATTCCTATCAAGCATTATAAAATGAAATAAAAAATAAGAAATATTCACAGCTCTGGCGGTTTCATGTGGATAAAGCAGACTTCTACTGAGGCATAAATCCTTCAGATTAAATCTTTAGTGGAGACACACAATCAAGTATTTGTCCTAATCCACTGTACTGCAGATTTGGAATAAAAACAGTAGAAGGCAGTTCCAGTTCTGGATGGAAGAGGCGATCCCAGTGTCTTCCTGAGTTTTCAGTCTAAAGTCTAGAAAGATGAGGGGGAAAATAAGAAGCTGTTAGGAGTTTTAATGATATAAACATCAATAAATATCCCTGACTTCCAAAAGCGTTCCATCTTCTTCCTCTTAATTATGTTACTTTACTATTGCAAAGCTCATATACATGTACAAATTGATATAGCGCCACCTTTGGAGAGCATTATTGGCAGAACAGATTTTAATCACATTTAAATGTTGACTTCTCTGTTTCCATCAGTTATTTTTGGAGGTTTCATATCATTTTAACTCACTGTAATATATTTTTTTTTTGTAACCAGTAATAAAATTGATAGAACATATCTTTGATTTAGTTTGAGATTATGATCTAACAAAACTCCCAATACGTAAACCTTGTTCGAACTTCGTGTCGCTAAAGTGTTTTTTGGGTAATTAGACAATCCCTTATATCTGTAATGGCGTTCTACTCCACCACAACGTTTCTTACAGAATTAGAAATAATAAGAGGAGTCTAAAAATAATCAACTTTCAATTTCCAATCAAACTCTTTTCATAAACTTTGTCTTCTATCAGTTATTTAACACCAATTTTCTTCTAATTTCAATGCATTCTGGGTGATATAAAGTAGGAGCTTCTAAATCAGAAACATGTCTTTTAGTGGATATTTTCTTTTCTACAAGAAAATTGAAATTTTGTTCTATATTAGTTGGATCATAATTCACTCTTTGTGATTCATAGTTTAATGTCTAATTTGGATACATATATACATATCCATTGTAGGAAGGTCAAATTACTATGGAAGTGTATTGCATTGACCAAAGGAAAAAAAATTTGACAGATTATCTCATAATTACAAGATCAGTATCTCGTAATTATGAGATAATATTTCATATTTAGGCGATCAGGAAGGACAGTGATTGCTGAGCTACGCTACATGAAACGTGAACAATGAGTCGGTTGTTGGATTTAATATGCTTTATTTTCTTTTAGATGTGCAACACTGAGAAATACTGAATTTCCTCGATATGGATGGAATTAGTTTTAGTTTGTCAGCATTGTGCAGACACATTAAGTGTTTAGGATTGTTTAGGCGAAAAAGCTCCCTCTACTCTGACTTGCAGGAAATGGCACTGTTCCTGCAGGAGGATTTAAATTAAATTACTGCATCTGAAATGCATTCCAGCTGGCTTGGTGGTTTCCCAAAGAACTGTTCAGTACCTGCTCAAAAATCCTCAAGGAGTACAGCTGAGGCTTCATGATCTTTTAAAACAATGTCTGTATAGAAACCCTGGTCCCAGTTTAATGTGGCATATCGATTCATATGACAAACTAAAACTATATGGAATCTGTGTTAACGGTAGCCTGACGTAGTCCGACTCAATTCTAGTCAGAATATGAGTCTGATACTGCTCCATAGAGCTGTGATTATGGGGCGTGTTTCGAACGAACCAGGAAAAAAAATGCCTCTGGACTCAATTGGATAGACCTACAACCAATAAGAGCAACGGAGTGCGTGACGTATGTTAAGCGAGGCATAGTTGTTGTCAACAAAAATCAAAGCGTGCAGTTGCACGCCTAGAATAAGAAGATGAGACTTGATCGCGTTTCTCTGTTCCTCTTTTAAAATTAATTTGCTGTCGATATCTTCTAGAACAGACCTAATAGCAGAATCTACTCACCTAAACTCTCCACTCTCCATGTATCAGGAAAGACTTCGGAACAGAGAACTGTTCAGTGGAACAGATGCAGATATTTTTAAGAAGTAATGATGAAGACCGGTTTTCTGAGAGATGCTACTTTACTGGCTTAAATAATCATGACCAAATATATAGATAAGATCTCGTTATTATTAGATGTTGTTTAAATATTAATAAATATGTAAAAATGGATGAAAGCATCACTGTCCCCGTTTCCTATTTTAATTCTGATTATATGTATTTATTTTTCTCTAGGAGCTGGAAATGTCCCTAGATTTGATTTCAGAAATCTGGCCTCCTTAACCCAGAGAGAAGCGACACATGCAGAGCGAGAACATGAATACAGCCAGGGATTGAACCAAAGACCTTTTCCCTCCAAAGCAACAATGACATAAACTGCTCTACTATGCCCCCCCCCCCCCCCCCCCCCTAGCGAAGCATCTTCAGGCTAACAGCTGTTCTCTTCAAAAGTAGAATTCTGACTTCATATCAAATATTCATCTATCAACTGCCATCAACTGAAGGTTTTATTTACATGATGCTGGACAGAAAACAAAATGCTCAACAGAAGCTGCAAACTAACTATAAATACAAATGTTTAAAATAAAAGGGAGTTTATTCATATGGAGGACCAGCTCTACCATATTTAAACATAAATAAATAAATGCTCAATAATAAATAAGCATATAATTAATTGCCCCCATAAAATGCTGACTAACCAATGGGCAGAAGTTGACCCTCTAAGACACAGACCCTCCTCATTTGCATAATGAGGCAGAAATGCAGACAGAAATATAAAAACTATTAGAAATAAATAGGGTAAAAAAAATACAAAGGCAGAATGAAACAGACAAAAATATTATAACATGAACATAATACTTAAAACAATAATAAATAATAAATAAAGTTAAAGATTATACTAGACAATAAATAAATAAGGTTATTATTACAAAGGTGAATGAATAAAGAAATAAAGAAGCTACCGGTACTTAAAAGTTTTTTTTTACATTTGGCCCTTGATTTTACGTTATTCCATCATGTTCTACTCACCCATATAAGTTTTGTGTCATTTGGAGCCGTTCTGAAGATATTCTGTTAGGTTATATCCAAGTAACGTCTTCCTATGGGCAACGACTTGAAGGCACAAACTAAACTGTTTATAATTTATTCTTTATGGTACGCCAGATTTTTTATATTTATGTCTTTTAAAAAGAAAGCGGCGCATATATGACATCATCCGGAATATCTTCAGAACAGCTCCAAAGGACACAAAACTCATATGGGTGAGTAGAACATGATGTAATAACATAAAATCAAGGGCCAAATGTAAAAAAAAAAATGGTGTTCCCCTTTAAAAGAGATATATACATATATGTCTCACTATATAATTTCATTTCCACCCACATTTATTTGTTTGTTGTATTTTGGGGGGGTATTAATTGTATGCTTATTTATTCACTGAGCATTTATTTATTTCTCTATTTATTTTTAAATATGGTAGATCTGGTCCTCCATAGATTCAAGCCTCATTTTCCTAAATAAAATCAGTGAATCTAATGTTAGCTTAGCTTATATGAAGTTTTACATGTAGCATTAATGATTTTATATCACATTGCTACTACTGTAAGAACACTTTCATGAAGAGTTCTCAAGAGGTGGGATTTCCTAAAAGGTAGCCAATCAGAGGCTTTCCTTTCTTAACTATGTTTAAACTGGTAAATTTAATAAATTCATTGTTAAATTTTATTTTCTTAACAGATTTTGGTCATATTTAATATATCGTATTGGGATGTTATATAAAGTGGTGCATAATTGTGATGGGAAATACTTATGGGAAACATTAATCGAAGAATGTGGACTAATAGTTATAGATGGAAGAAATTGTCACTCTAAAGACATTGTAAAACACGGAGGTGGAAGCATCATGCTGGGGACAGGAGGAGGCTTGGAGGATGGAGGGGAAGGTTTTCATAATGCAGCTGCACACATACATGTTTTCTCTACAAAATAACACTATGCTGAGGTTTGCAGCTGGGATCATTGAGTGAAAGTTTAAATGCTAGTTTTTCTGCAAGACACCATTAAACCTTTACCTGTTTGGCATTTTCTGACCAGCAGATGGAGCCAAAGCATCATGTCCTCGCTGCATCTTTTTAATTGGAGGCGGAGGTCTCTTTATATTACAGTTACGTTGATCCTAATTTCAAATTAAACAGAACAAATTAAATTGGCTATTGTATTAGAAAAAGAAACTTTTCTATATCGGTGGAAAAAGCCTGTTTGAAGAGCCTCACCGGGAAATGACTGCTGACAGGACAGGGTGGTGGAGGTCTCTTAGGGGGGTCTGGTCGCAGCTGCCTTTTAGGGTCCTGTGGAGGTAAAGATGGAGGGATTGGAAAGGTTGGTGAAACCTGACGTGGTTTCTGTCCCTGAGGAGAAGAAGCAGCGGGTGGGAAGGGGGCCTGGTTCTTCTTTCTGATTTCTTTCTGCTCAGCTGCCTGACAGGGGACGGGAGGAGGCGTCATCGCAGGACGCTTGATTGTTTGTCTGGGCCGAGCTGAGGGTAACGGGCTCAGGTGAGATGGGGACTGTGGGTTTAAAAAACTTTAAATGAAATTATTCTGCTAAGAAACAATCAGCCATTTCCCTTTCATAAAGTATGCTTGATCTTTATTACCGAATCCTCCTTATCCACCCGGAAAGTTGCGTTTGGATGACCATTGGAAGGAGCCTCAGGCTCCATGCGTTTCCCTTCAGCTGCATCCAAACATCTGAGGATCAGAATCACAGTGGATATAAACACCGATAAAACTGGAGAAGAACTTTACATCTGCAGCTGTTGCTGTACTTTTTTATTTAACAATGTAAAATTACTCACTTTGGCACTGGTGGAGGCAGGACAAATCTATGATTGTAGCAGAACCAAAGCCCGAAAATAGCCAAAACCACAAAAAGAACCAGAAGGAGGAGAACTGGAATTGGAAAACCTACAAATAATAGAGAACCCAAAAAAATGAACGTAGATTAACTTCCTCGTCTACTAGAACCGAAGCTAGAACCACAGCATGCGTTTAACCTGGACTCTTTGGAGGTCCACTGTCCACACTTCCTCCTGGCCCGCTGTGGTTGCACCAAGGAGGAGCCCAGCCGGGGTCGCAGTGGCAGTTCTGGTTGTTGTTACACAGCTGGAAAGATGAGAACAGAGCAGAGAGCGTCATGGCGAATTAGCGCCTTGAAATGAGCCACTTTAAAACACTTTCCCACAGGAAAGAGAAACACGGCTGCGCTGATGACATACAGGATGAGGGTTTCCTTGGAAGCACAGAACAAGACTTACAGCTGTTTTAGACAAAAAAACAATAACAACATATACTTCTTTCACTTCCCTTTTTAAGCCTTACTTGACTTAGAACACAGGAATTAAATACCTTAAAGCAAATTAAGGTAAAATCAATTTAATCTTAATATATTTCAATTAGAAAATGATATTGATTTGTTTTATTTCCCCTTCCCTCTTTCTCAGAGTAAAGTATTTAAAGATTTTGGAGAACGGCCTGTTTTTCAGTGTAGTCCTGTTTCTCTGACTGTGACTAACTGGATGTGCTCTCTTCATCCTCTGACATGGGAGCTAGATTCATCTACCTGGCTGTGTGTTTCCTGGACGGGGCCTCTTTTTTTTCTCTTTATTTAGTCTTTTTTATAATACAAAAACAAAAGAAAAAACAAGAAGAAAAAACAAAAAACAAGCTGGGGGGAGCATACATTACCATATTTTCCAAAGTTTCTTTTTTTTTTTAATGGGTGGGTTTTGGCCTTGAACATAGACCACTTCTGCCATTTTTTCTCAGTCTCCTTCTTTAAGGCTCAGACGAAAAGTCAAATTTTCCATGGCGTATAGTTCGTCTACAATATTCAGCCATTGTCCACACCCAGGTGGGTCAATTTTCAACCAATTCCTTGTCAATGCCTTTTTGGCAGAAATCAGTAATATTTTGCAGAGGTAAATGTCTTTTTTTCCGATGACTTCATACGACATAAGTCCTAGGTATACAAAGCTCGGATCTCGGGGTATAGATAGGCATAAAATTTCCTCTACTGTCTGAATGACACTGTTCCAGAATAACTGCAGTTTAATGCATGACCAAAAGACATGGGAGTGATTGGGATCTACATGTCCACACCCTCTCCAACACTTCTGTTGTTGACTAAGTTGTTTTGATTTTATATATGGGGTGATAAAAAAACGAATTAGATTTTTCCATCCAAATTCTCGCCATCTTCTTGAGCTGGTTGAAGATTGTTGTGTTTTACACATGGAGGACCACTCACTCCCAGTTAATGTAATGTTGAATTCTCGTTCCCACTTTTTTTTAAACATAGAATGAATTTCTGCCATCGTATTTTTGGAGACTATTGTACAATTTTGATACAATTTTTGAGGGAGTTCCACCATATGCACGTGTCAAGAGTATAATCACCTCACTAATTCCTTCTGATAGGTCCCTGACGGGGCCTCCTTTTAAGGTTGCTTGTTGTATCTATGCTTCTTTTTCTATGTCTGCTTCTGTCTCCTTGAACCCCAGTCGGCCTTGGCAGATGGCGGCTCACACTGAGCCTGGTTCTGCTGGAGGTTTCTTCCTGTTAAAAGGAGGTTTTTCCTCTCCACTGTCGCTACAAGCATGCTTAGTGTGAGGGATTGTATTTGAGTCAATGAGTCAATGCAATCAGCTGGTTTTCCTTAGATAGAAACTTTGAATCAATTTGACTGGATGATCTGGTGAACTGGAAAGTGCCTTGAGATGACGTGTGTTTTGATTTGGCGCTATAGAAGTAAACTGAATAGAATTGAAAATAGTTCTTGTGCTGCTGTTCCCAAGGAAGCTATTTTTTCTAACAAATAATTCCCTCATTCCTGCTGCGACACACGGGGACCTACCCCATGTCCGTGGCAGTTGGCGTTGCACTCATCCGCTCTCAGAAACGCTGCATTTCGGCACTCTCCATTAAAGCAGATCTGTAAAATAAAGAGAAGTGTAATGAATATATAAAATACAGTTATAATGCAAATGAGTTCTATAAAAAAGCTAATTTTCACACGTCTCACAGAGTCATCGCCACACTTGGTTCCCGTCATGACCAGGCCCGGGTCCAGGGTGTCCCCCTGCGGCTCCTGCTCCTCATGGCTGGGCTTATAGACGTGTGTCCCAAGGCACAGAGTTCTCTTGCGGTCCACCCTGACTGTGGTTTCTATGCGAACTGCATTGTTCTCAATGGGCTTGGAGGCTGAAGCAGAGCACTGGATTTTACCACATTTAGCGTCCCTGCAGAGCGATGATGTAGACACGCTTTAGAAAAGAGGGAGAAAAAGGGAGGATTTCCTGAAGTTTTGATCTTCACCTCTCACTGCATTTCCTGTATTTTCCTTCTTGATCTTTGCCGCAGTTGCCGTACATATCCCCTGCTTTATTCACCTCTATAAAACACACGTTGTGTGCTGACCGAGCGTCTGTGGAGTGAAGAGAGAGAAAAATCCACAATAAAACAAACAAATAACGCCTGATGAAACTAGAATGGTGTCTCTTCTGGTTATGATACAGGTTTTTTTTTTATCAGAGCCTCTAGGACAGGGGTCACCAATAAAAAATCAGCAGGGTCCTAATGAAGAAACGGATACATTTTTAATTATAATCTGTACATTGAATTTTGAAATAAAAAAATCTCAAAGAAATTGAACACGTTTCCATTTTAAAATCTAAACTGTTTTTCGAAGTAGAGAACGTTCAGTTCACATATTTTATAAAACACCTGAACTAACCGATTGTTATTTTTCTTTCTTTTTTCGGGCTTAAAGAGAGCAGTGGGCTTTATGCTGCCCTGCAAGGCTTTAAACCTGGGTTTGAATGGAGACTAAGCCATTCTCAAGCCATCCCAGGCTCATTTGTGAGCTTATATTGTCAGGACTCGTGTTTTGTGTCTGTGTTTCTGTGTTTGTCTCCCTTTCTCCACCAGGAGGCGCCCTGTTCTGGTCCGGCTCCTCACACACCTGCGGACGGTTTCTTCTTAAGCTGCTGACTGCCACTACTTCGATGCCAGAGTGTTTGCCAGTTTAGGGTACTCTAGTCAAGCTGAGTTTTTGTCAACCTGAGTTTAACTTTGCTTTGTCTTTGCCTCTTGGCAGGAAGTCATCCTGCTAACTGGATCTCTCGGACCTTCCCACCCTGGAAGGATCAACTGAGCTTCAAACTGAGCTGGGGTTCAAACAGGAGGTTTGGATCCACTTTCCCCAAGAGATCATTTGAGCTTCTCACGGAGAAAGGGATTATTCTCCACTACGACCCGTTCAAGTACCGCAGGAAATCTGAGTGGCAGTCAGTTTCTCGATTCACCAACTAACAACCGCATTCTGGGTAACCCTGTTCCGCCCTCCATCGAATCAATCAAACACTGGAACCACAGCACACAGACAGGAGTCAAGGATTCAACAACTTCTCTGGACACGTGAGTCGGCAACCAAAACCTCTTCTCCAAGTTTTTGGGTCAGAACTTTGTAACATCATGACATACATATTCATAAAAACTAAGACCCTTTGTTTAAATGATTGGATGCAAACTATTAGTACTTCAACATACCAGGAAGCAGATTTCTCATCTCAATCAAAATATTTGTTTTATACTAAGAGGCTTAAAAGATTAATCAAATCCAGTCAAAACGTCCAAGAGTGCCTCTCACAACTTCAAAAGAAACTTCTCATCTCAGGCCTGGATGAAGAGATGCTGAGTTTGGAAGCCGATAACAAACATAGTTCATACAAACCATGGATGATCCTAATTATCCCTGTTACAAAAATCCACAAAAAAACATAAATATTTGGGCAGAAGCTGAAAATATGCTGGCTGGATGATGGTAGGGATTTTTTTATATGTCATATTAAATCATTTTCGCATGTTTTGCTCCTGAATTTAATAACAATATAGCGCATACTCTCCTTAAGCTCCGAGGAAGTCGGAGAGGAGCAAGACAGGAGGAACAGCGGATTAGACACAGTCGCAGGACAACATTCGGTAATTTCTAAATGTTTTAAATAAGGTAGGGTCCGGATTAGCCAACTGGTCCGGATCCAGACCGCAGTCTGCTAATCCGTGACCTCTGCTCTAGGAGGACTCTGCTACTGTACCACATCAGGTAGCAGAAACCACCAAACTTTAACTAAACAGCTTTTATTTAAGATAGTAAAAGAAGTGTGAAATGGAAATTAATTAATAAATAATTTCTATATATAGATATAGTGCTTCTTTTTTATATATATTTTTATCAAGCATAAGGGCACATTAAATATCAGAACATCAATCAATACTGCTTGTGCAGGACAACCCTCAAAACAAAGCTATCCTAGAAAGACATGAATTAGCATTAGCACAGAATAAGTACTGTGATGCTGATAATAGGGTCTACAGCCCACCTCATATAACATGTATTATCTCAATTTTAATTTTATATATAATTTTATTTATATATATATATATATATATATATATATATATATATATATATATATATATATATATATATATGTTATCTTGACAATAACCATGACAACCTGTGCACCAAACAGCAGTGGGCGCTGCTGTCGCACTTAAATGTTTAAATGAATCTATATTTAATGTCCAAACACCAAAGTGTTTTATCGTTTTAACCTGCACAGTGATCCATCGATGAAAACAAAACAAAAACTAAGCTGTTTTTAAAGCCCCTTTGATCAATATCAGGGCATTCTTATTAAAATGAAATGTTTTTTCAGCAGGATAATGATCTAAACAGATGAGCAGATCAACTAGAAAATGAAGATATTTTTCTGTATCAACTACAGAGGTGATTAAAAGAAGAAAGATGCAGCAGACTAACTGTTGTCCTATATCCATTATAAAGTTGTTTAGATCCTAACTAGCAGGGGAGAATGAGAAGCAAATGATGCCACAAATGGCAAAATCTGCTGTAGACACATGAATGATGAAAACTCCAGAACACACACACACACACACACACACACACACACACACACACACACACACACACACACACACACACACACACACACACACACACACACACACACACACACACACACACAACAACAACAAACAAACAGGCAGTTCAAAAAAATCTGCAAACTCATTCCCCTAAACAAAAATGCATCAAACCACAAGGGGGAGTCAACCAACCATTTATGTGGCACCAGATCCTTAGCGAACAAATGTAACTGATGCCAGTTGGATGGAAGACAGAAAATCTAACACTTTCCTTCATGTCAGTTTGACTTTGGTGAATATGATGCAGTTTATGTTCCCTCTAATTTTTCACGTGTGTCTGGGCATAAAAACTAGCCTCCTGAGTACACCGAGGACCCTGGTGAGCAACACCAGATGTGCACGTTGAGGTCATCGTATGTATATATATATATATATATATATATATATATATATATATATATATATATATATATATTAGGGCTGGGCGATATAGAAAAAAAGCTTATCGATAAAAAAAAAAATGCATATTGATCGATATCGATAATTATTGAAAAGATTTGACACCATATTTTATGTGCAGCTCTGCCTGGACATTTTATAATATTGCTAAATGATTTAATTTTAATAAAAAACACAAACACAGACTTCGAATTAAATCTTTATTTAACCAACTATTTTAACCATAACAGAATTGTTTAAAAAAAAATAACTTAAGAGACCTGAGTTATGTTATTAAATACTGACAAAGAATAAACTAAAGTGACCAGAAAAGTGACCAAAATAAATACAACAAATAAATAAATGCCCCCCCACCGCCGCCCCCGTTTCCTGCTTTAACCTGAGTTATTACTTTGAAGTTGCTGGCCCCTCAGCATTTTTATCTCAATTGTTAGAACTACGTGGGAAACTGCCCAGAACTGAAAATATATATATATTTTCCGAAGATTCCTCGGAGGAGAGCCGCGTCGGGGCCTACACAGCTCGTACTCCTGCGGCTGTGAGCGGCTGAGATGATAAAAAAAAGTTGCTTTCGTTATCAGACTGGTTTTCACTGGTTCCCGACACATTTTCCAGATCACTGTGGTTTGTTTTTGATCCGACTTGCCATGACCGAAATACTGCCAGACTGCCGAACTACAAAAACCTTTCTTTGGAACAATTTCCTCCGCCTCTCCTTGCTGCATCTTCATGTGCTCTGTGTTGTGTTTTGAGAGGGTGGCGCTTGGTGACGTCGTGCCTGGGTCCGCGATTGTGATTGGTTGGGAGGAAGCAGTGACTAGCATAAACCTACATGCTAGGCTACAATGAGAAGGAAGGAAAACTGCGTTTCTTTTTTATCGAACTTTTATCGACCCTCTTTTTTTCTATTGCGCCACACGTCTATCGATCGATATATATCGTTATTGAATTATCGCCCAGCCCTAATATATATATATATATATATATATATATATACAGGTGCTGGTCATAAAATTAGAATATCATGAAAAAGTAGATTGATTTCAGTAATTCCATTTAAAAAGTGAAACTTGTATATTATATTCATACATTACATACAAACTCATATATTTCAGATGTTTATTTTGTTTAATTTTGATGATTACAAATGACAACAAATGAAAATCTCAAATTCATCATATCAGAAAATTAGAATATTACTGAAGACCAATAAAAACAAAGGATTTATAGAAATGTTGGCCAACTGAAAAGTATGAACATGAAAAGTATGAGCATGTACAGCACTCAGTATTTAGTTGGGCCTCCTTTGGCCTGTATTACTGCAGCAATGCGGCGTGGCATGGAGTCGATCAGTCTGTGGCACTGCTCAGGTGTTATGATAGCCCAGGTTGCTCTAATAGTGGCTTTTAGCTCTTCTGAATTGTTGGGTCTGGTGTATTGCATCTTCTTCTTCACAATACCCCATAGATTTTCTATGGGGTTAAGGTCAGGAGAGTTTGCTGGCCAATTAAGAACAGGGATACCATGGTCCTTCAACCAGGTACTGGTAGCTTTGGCACTGTGTGCAGGTGCCAAGTCCTGTTGGAAAATGAAATCTGCATCTCCAAAAAGTTGGTCAGCTGCAGGAAGCATGAAGTGCTCTAAAACTTCCTGGTATGTGGCTGCGTTGACCCTGGACCTCAGAAAACACAATGGACCAACACCAGCAGATGACATGGCACCCCAAACCATCACTGACTGTGGAAACTTTACACTGGACTTCAAGCAACGTGGATGAAGTGCCTCTCTTCTTTTCCTCCAGACTCTGGGACCTTGATTTCCAAAGGAAATGCAAAATTTACTTTAATCAGAGAACATGACTTTGGACCACTCACCAGCAGTCCAGTCCTGTTTCTCTTTAGCCCAGGCAAGACGCTTCTGACGCTGTCTGTGGTTCAAGAGTGGCTTGACACAAGGAATGCGACAGCAGAAACCCATGTCTTTCATACGTCTGTGTGTGGTGGTTCTTGAAGCACTCACTCCAGCTGCAGTCCACTCTTTGTGAATCTCCCCCACATTTTTGAATGGGTTTTGTTTCACAATCCTCTCCAGGGTGCGGTTATCTCTCTTGCTTGTACACTTTTTTCGACCACATCTTTTCCTTCCCTTCGCCTCTCTATTAATGTGCTTGGACACTGAGCTCTGTGAACAGCCAGCCTCTTTAGCGATGACCTTTTGTGTCTTGCCCTCCTTGTGCAAGGTGTCGATGGTCGTCTTTTGGACAACTGTCAGCAGTCTTCCCCATGATTGTGTAGCCTATAGAACTAGACTGAAAGACCATTTAAAGGCTTTTGCAGGTGGTTTGAGTTAATTAGCTGATTAGAGTGTGGCACCAGGGGCCATCAATTTTGAACCTTTTCACAATATTCTAATTTTCTGATATGATGAATTTGAGATTTTCATTTGTTGTCATTTGTAATCATCAAAATTAAACAAAATAAACATCTGAAATATATGAGTTTGTATGTAATGTATGAATATAATATACAAGTTTCACTTTTTAAATGGAATTACTGAAATCAATCTACTTTTTCATGATATTCTAATTTTATGACCAGCACCTGTATATATATATATATATATATATATATATATATATATATATATATATATATATATATATATATATATATATATATATATATATATATATATATATATATGTATAGGGAGCTTGAGGGTTCTGCCAGTATCTTTGCTGTTCCTAGAACTGCACTCTTCTAGACCAAGATGTCTGATGTATTTCCAGGGATCTGCTGTAACCACTCTTCAATTTTGGGGGTCGCTGCCCCGAGGGCCCCAATGACCACAGGTACCACTGATGCCTTCACCTTCCAGGTTTTCTCCAGCTCTTCTCAGAGCCCCTGGTATTTCTCTACTTTTTCATGTTCTTTTTTCCTGATGTTGGAGTCACTTGGTATCACTATGTCAACCACAATGGCTTTCCTCTGCTTTTTGTCCACCATCACAATGTCCGGTTGGTTTGCCATTCGGTCCGTCTGTATCCGGAAGTCCCAAAGGATTTTTGTTTGGTCTTTGGAGGTGTTTTCCACTTTGACCTTGGGGTTTCCAGCCCATTCTCTGCACAGATGTTCCTGTATAGTACTCCAGTCTCTTGGTTATGGCGCTCCATGTAAGCTTTCCATGCCAGCATCTTTACACCCTGCAGTTATGTGCTGGATTGTCTCAGGGGCCTCTTTGCACAGTCTGCGCCTGGGGTCTTGTCTGGTGTGGTAGATCTGGGCCTCTATTGCTCTGGTGCATAGGGCCTTCTCCTGTGCAGCCATGATGGGTGCCTCTGTGCTGTCCTTTAGTCCGGCTTTGTCTAGCCATTGGTAGGATTTCCTGATATCTGCCACTTTGATTATGTTTCGGTTGTACATCCCATGTAGGGGCTTATCCTCCTATGACAGAGTCTCTGGCACCTCATCTTCTGTCCCCCATTGTCTGAGACATTCACTGAGCATGTCGTCTGTTGCAGCCTTGTCCTTGATGTACTTATAGGTCTTGGATGTTTCATCCTGGATAGCGTCTCTTACGCTCATTAGTCCTTGGCTTCCTTCCTTACAGCTGGCGTACACTCTCAGGGTGCTGGATTTGGGGTGGAACACTCCGTGCATGGTTAGGGGCTTTCATGTCTTAACATCTGTGGCCTGTACCTCCTCCTTTGGTCAGGCTTATTATTCCTGCAGGGTATCTGATTACTGGCAGAGCATAGCTATTTATTGCCTGAGACTTATTCTTGCCATTGAGCTGGCTCCTTAGGACCTGCCTTACTCATTGAAGGTATTTAGCCGTAGCCGTCTACCTGTTACCTCTTCAAGGTTGCCATTTGCTTGTGGGATTCCAAGGTACTTGTAGCTGTCCTCAATGTCAGCTATTGTTCCTTCTGGGAGTGAGACCCCCTCTGTGTGGACTACCTTCCCTCTCTTAGTTACCATCTGACCACACTTCTCTTGTCCGAATGACATCCTGCTGTCTGTGTTGAAGATCCGGGTGGTATGGGTCAGTGTCTTGCTCATTCTTAGCATACAGCTTGATGTCATCTATGTAGAGGAGATTGACCAATGTTGGACCCGTTCCTGAGTCGGTACCCGTTGCCAATCTTGTTGATCATTTGCCTGAGGGGGGTCAGATCTATGCAGAACAGCAGTGGGGACAGCGCATCTCCTTGGTATATGCCACATTTGATCGAGACTTGTGCAAGTATCTTGCCATTGGCCTGAAGGATGGTTTTCCACAACCTCATTGAGTTTGCAATGAAGGTTCTTAGAGTCCTGTTGATGTTGTATAGCTCCAAGCATTCAGTGACGCAAGTATGTGTCACTGAGTCGTAGGCCGGTCGTAGGCACCTCTGACAGGACAGATCGAGTAGTGACAGTTACTGACTCTAGTTAGTAGGAACACTGTAGAGTCTCAAGAGGAAAGATTTCCTGAAAAGCCAATCACGGGCAGTTTATTTTCTCAAAGGGACAAATGTTGACATGAGTGAAAATAAAAGATCAACAGGAGAGTAGGAGTGAATCTACAAGCACATAAAAAGCAAGAGAGCGCAGAGGAGGAGCACAAACCGCACAGAATACTCAAAATGCACGTCAAGAGTAGTTTACCTTTGTGCGTTTTCTAAATAAAACTCCTTAATGATGGATTACTTGGACCATTTTCTAGAATGGCAAAATATTTAAATAATCCTTCAAAGATCTGCGGATGACCTGTGTCCTGTTTACTCACCTCGGCCCCAGAGAGACTGACACTGTTGCTCCAGGGTTAGACACATCCCAGTGTAGCAGTAGGCCCGTCCATGTGCGCAGGATGTACCGTCCGCTAAGTAGAAATTGGCTGGACATGACTCTGATTTTCCGTCACAGAACTCTGGAAGATCACACAGCCCAGAAGTCGCTCGGCAAAGCTCTCCAGGGCTCTTTATCTTCCAGGTGAAACAGAGGAGATGCTTCACTTTTGGTAGAGGGGAAAACTACATTTCTTTGCAGTCTTACTATCGTTTTGTCTAACCTGCTTACCTTGCAGTTATGGCAGCAGACTCCATGGGCACACTCAGCTCCAGCTTTCAGGGTGCAGTTGTTGGCATTGCAGCATGGAGACGTGCATTCCTGTTCACAAAGTTTAGAGAAGAAAAAATATCAAAAAACCCTACAAAACAGAAATATTTCTGCAAACAGATTCCAACTGACCTTTTCCTCTCCACAGTCACACTCCTCTCCTTTCTCTAGGTAACCATTTCCACAGCGCTGCCCTCCGTACAGCGAGTCAACATGGGGCAGGTTAAAGAGACACTTGCCTCCTCCAGAGTTCAGGTAACTGTTAAGTTCCTTTCGGTTGCATTCATTAAACACACGGGGAAAGGGAGACCTGTGCCAGTGGTATAATCAGAAACAGACGCAAAAATTTAAGTCATAACTTTACCCTTTTTTATAAGTCAAACAGCTTTAATTTCATGTTTGTTCAGCGTACCCAGTTGCAGCAGCCATGATGCAGCCACCATCTTCTGCTTTGGCCTGGCAGCAGCCCTCTCTGTCGTGATTCATTCCAAAGTTGTGACCCATCTCGTGTGCAATCGTGGCAGCGACCCCAACAGACACTGGTGAGTGGTCCTTTAGCATCCCCATGTGGTAAAACATCAAATGTTAAAAGATATAACCTCTGGCAAAGACTGCAGGAGGTTATGTGCAGCGAGGAAAAAGTTGATCTTCACAGATCGATTTTTTTCTTTCCTTTTACCATGTTTAAAAAAACTTTGAAAAAAAAAAAGCACCCCAGTGGAGGACTTTATACAAGCCTCCAATCAAAAATCGATCGGTTATAAATCGGTGTCATGATCTGGCCTGTTTGCTCCTCCTTAATTGATGATCTCTTTAACCTGCCGTTTTCCCTCCCTGCCTCATTATAATTTGTTCCCCTCACCTGTTTCTTCTGGTTATATTCAGCTCAGCCTGAGCATTTAGTGCCAGATCATTACTTGTCTGTCTGTTGAGTTTTTGCCTTGGTTCATGTCCTGGATCCTAGCAGCCAGTGGAAAGAGGGTTTTTGTGTTTGTCTCGTCTCCTGATCGTCCACTGTTCCTCCCCCGCCGAGTCCTCTGGGTTTTTGGCTCTATATGTGGGGAGGTTCAGCTTTTATCTCAGTAAGCCTGGCTCCAGGGAGGAGACCAGTTTAAAGTCCTGCATCAAGTTCTGGTTCCACGTCCTGTCTTGGCTACCCTCTTCCACTGAGCCTGCCTGTCTGCACTTGATCCTGTGTGGGACCGCCTGGTCACGCTTTCGGACCCTGTCAGACTCTGAACCCTCCTGGGAGCTTGTGGATGCCTGGAAGTCTGGATCCTGCCACCTGTTTCTGTTCCTGCCTGATCTGGATCCTGTTCCTGTCTGTTCTGGATCCCTGACCAGGATCGGCTTCCAGCATGTCCTCTGGGACTGCAGCACTTGGGGGACATTCTTGGACTGGACTGTTAAACCAGAATGTCTGAGATTGGGCGGTGCCCCGCCCCCCTCCTGCAGTGTCCACGAGCCACAGCTCCACTTTAGTTTTTGTTTTATTTAATAAACTTTTTGAACTTTCCTACTGACTGTCTCTCCTTGAATACTGGGTCCATCTGTCCGCGCTTCATGACAATCGGGGTGTTTTAAATAAGTGTCCTTTCTGCGGTCTGTCTGAAAATGTGTTCAACGTTTTTATTTAATACACAAGACTAAAGACAATTTTTTTGCCTTTTAACTGCTGTTTTAAACTTTTTGTGACTGGTTTTACAAACAATGTTTTTATAGGAGGAGTTTGCCAGAATAGGAAAAATAAGCAATAGACTTTTAAATTGTTTTTAATCAGTGAAGCAAAGATGGCCGTTTATTATCCCGCAGAGAAAGACTACAGGAGGGAGCTCACCTTTATGCCGTGGCTCTGTGGAAGTGCAACGTTAAAGCCAGAATAAGGCTGGAGTTTCACTTCGACTTAGCCACACAGAACATGGAGGATTTTATTCAGCTGTGGGGTTTTAACTAAATATTATGTACTGTGTCAGATGAAGGAAGTCTACAATTTAATAAGCTCCTTATTAAATAATTTTTAGCTGGTACTTGTTTTTACCTTAATAGTGATTTTTAACTGACTCTGTTTTACATCAATAATTAATTATATTGTTTGAATTGTGTAAATAAAGTGTTGTTAAAATCCCCAAAACAAAAAAATCTTACCGTGTTTACCCCACCGGATTGGTAATCAGAGCACATGGATTTGAGTGGAGCCAGTCCAATGGTACTGCCATGGAAGGACACCCCCCTAAACCAAAACAGCATCGGTAACTGGAGTTATCACTTTACATCGTATACTACCCTCAAAACAAAGCTATACTAGAAAGACATGAATTAGTATTAGCACAGAATAAGTACTGTGTATCCTGATAATAGGGTCTACAGCCCACCTCATATAACATGTATGTATTATCTCCATTTTAATTTTATATATAATTTTATATAAATATATATATATAAATATATATATATATATAAATATATATATATATATATATATATATATATATATATATATATATATATATATATATATATTCAGTTTTTCAACAATTGACAATTTTGTTTATATTCAATTAAGGCAAATAAATCAAATAATTAAGAAGAATAATGAGATTGAGTTGATCCACAGCAGACAGCCCGCACCAATCATTAGCAATAGGAACCATGAATCACTGCGCTTCATCTAGATAACTCAACTCAGCTGAATAGTTTTTTTTGCTTGTTTTTTTACGGCACTATTGACTCATTTTTATGGACAGTAGCTGACAGGAAAGGGGATATGAGAGAGGGGGAGAGACATTCGGGAAACGACCACAGGCCGGATTCGAACCCGGGTCGCAGACTAAGACCACAGTCTAAGCCCAACTCGGCTGAATTTTTATTGTACTTGCACTCCAGACCCTGTGCTAATAAACCGTTTAGGCTTCCTGTGCATTTGTTTCAGGAGTGGAAGGAAGGAATGGGGGAAGGGCAGAAAGAGTAAAAAGACAGAATAAAATGGATTTTGGACAAACGAAGCACAGATTGAAGGAATGTAAGACTTAAAAGAATAAAAAAGTAAGGGAACAAAAAATAAAGAGATTAATAAAAAAGACCCAAACATTAGTTTTCTGTAATTGAATTCCAGCAAGATGCTTTATCAAAAACACAACCATAAGAAATACATTTTTTTCTGATTTACAGCATGTGATCAGAGTTAAAGTAGCAGAGTTTATTTCTTATCATCCTGTTAATTAAATAGATATTTAATATATATATTTAACAAGGGGAGCTCAAACTTAGATCTTGTTGCTTTTATTCCAATAAAATTAGGCTCACTTGCAGATTTTTGTACATTTATCAAATTCCATCCATTTTCACGGTTATCCCAAGCGGGGTGGTGAAGGGTGCTGGTGTCTATCTCAACTGTTTATGGGGTCCACCCTGGACAGGTTGCCATTCCAGCGCAGGGCAACACAGAGACAAACCATTCACACATACATCTAAGGGGAATTTAGAGAAGCCAATTAACCTAACAGTCATGTTTTTGGACTGTCTGAGGAAGGCGGAGTACCCGGAGAGAACCCACACATGCACAGGGAGAACATGAAGAACCCCGGGCTGGGAATCAAGCCCGTAACTTTCTTGGTGCAAGGCAGCAGTGCTACCCACTGTGTCACTGAGCAGCCATTTATCAAATTTTCACCTGATTTTTGGTAAACAAGCAAAACATTTCACATTTTCTTTCTTTTATTCTCTTCATTTTATAGTATTTTTTTAGTGAATATAAAGAGCCATTTAAGGGATTCTATAAATGTTGTTCCCATAGTCAAGAAGAGGCGAACTGCTGGAATGCAACCTTCATCTAACTTTTTCACCACGTCTGAATCAGATTTATCTGAACTTTTCTGAACAAAACAGTCCAACAAGCAGCCTTAAAACCAACCTGTTTGTACGGACAGAGCAGATCTTCCAAGAAGATGCAAAGTGTTTTTTTTTAAGCATCTAAGCCCTGATAAATATGCAGGTCATATTCTATTGACCAAACCGCACTAAGTCTTGGGTGCAGGGTGTGTAAATGTAAACATTTGTAATATGCAACAAGATTTTCAAAGTTAGTTAGTAATTTTTATGTCTTTCTTTAATCTCTTTTTGTCAGGATTTGGTCAATGAGTAAGATGACCCAAAAGCAGAGGCAGAGAGGCAGAGGTGAATCAGAAACCTTGGGGAAAATCAGGGGAATCACAAACAAGACGAGGTGGGCACAGGGAGAAGGAGTTGGAGCAAGAAGACAGTGTTTGACGAGGACCCAGCAAAGGGGAACTGAACAGAGAGGGCTTTTAAAGGAGACTGAGACAAAGAGTGGGCTAACGACGGGATTGAAAACAGGTGAGGGCAGTGCAGAAAACAGAGCTAGTGAAAGAGGACACAAGGGGGCAGCAGAGGACAACAAATGGAAAACCAAGAAGACTGGAAATAACAAAATGATAATCAAATAACTAGGATAATGAAACATGATGAAAAGAAAACTAAACACTAGAAATCAAGGAGTAAGGAAAGACAGAATACTCAAAAGAAAAACATAACAGAAACCTTTAAGTCAGGTGCAAAATCAAAACACAAAAATATCTGCTTTCATTGGTGTAACAAAGTAGTTATTGGTTCAGGAGAGGATGGAGCTATCTAAAGATGACTTTCTAATGTTTTAAGATTTATTTTATATTTCAATTAAGCTTTGTTTATTTTATTCATTTTATATTTTACCTTTGTTGTTAGCACTTTAATATTTTGTATTATCCTTTTTATTTTTAAAAACAATTATTGCCTCCATCTCAATGGCTTTGAACCTCTTCTTTCTTTTACTTGTAATGGGCGGAGCCAAACCAGTTTTAAGGTCTTTGTGCATATTTAACAGGTTTAAATGCCAGACTTCATACACGGTGTTGCCAACTCAGCGACTTTGTCGCTATATTTAGCGACTTTTCAGACCCCTCCAGCGACTATTTTTCAAAAAAGCTATTAGCGACAAATCTGGTGACTTTTTGTCTTTCTGTAACGATATTTCTCCCACAGCATCAATAACATGCACATCACTTCCTGTGGCAGATTACGCAAATTAGGCGATGACATCATTTAGTGACTTCTAGCGACTTTTAGCACAGCCAATAGCTACTTTCCTTACTGAGGAGTTGGCAACACTGTTCATACAGTGGTGCACATGTTGGGATTGTAACTTAATGGAGATGGAGGGGCGAGAGTTTTTTGCAAGACTGAAGGAAATAAAAAAGAATTGCTTCTTTTAGAAGGAGGGATACTGACGTGACGAGCTGAGCGTTGTCATTGGGGAGAATTTTGAGCATCTTCCGTCTCCAGGTCAGAAACCCAGCCAAGGTGCTGTGTGGGTTGTTGGACACGTTGATCTGGTCCTTGTCAGTCCAAACCTCCAGACCAATTAAAGCCACGCGGATCTTCCAATCCTTGTAGTACTGTTGGCAGTAGATAGAGACATGAACTACTAATGAGAATAAACAGAAGCAATGACCCTCATGTTAATAAAGTCTAATAGGCGATGCTACCTTGTCAACCAGGTTGGCTGCTTCCAGCAGCTTTTGTTGCGTCTTGTAAAAATCCATCTCATTTCTCTCAAACTGCAACACAACATAAACCAGAATAAAGACATAAATGACGTGATGGCTGGCCTACTGCTTTACTGTAATGAGAGAGAAATTCCTCACACCTACAACTTCTTGAAATAAAATGTCAGTGTCCCTGAGTCCTACCTACGTGAAAAGGTGTGAAACCACAATGAGTGAATGATGTACAGGTGCCCATATATGGCCATTCTACGAACCTCTGCTCTGTCTGCAACCAACAGAAGCTCCACGTACTTCATATTCTGCATCACTTCCCTTTTCTCCTGCATATAGATACAGATCAATGATAAAACAGTGTGATACATTGCTTTGCATAGCATGCACACCTTTATGACTTTTTATTTTCATTTTTTTACTATTAAAATTACAATTTTAATTTATTATATTGCGATTTTATGTGATAGAGCCACTTGAAATAATGTATTGTGAAGTGATCTTCACATCTTCCAAATTTGCAACCCCACTGTACTCGGATATCACCAAATAAAATGTCTTCAAAAGTCAGAGTTGGTTCACACCAAACGGGCTTAGAGCATCTGTTTTACATGCAAAGTCCATAGAAGACATCAAGGAGCACGTATTTGAGCGTCAGGAGCAGAGGGTCTTGCTGAATTTCCTGGATTTCTGACTTGCAGCAGAAAGAGGGACAGGGGAGTTTCAACCAATCAGAAAAGCTGATCTGGGAGACAGACGCTACATGCAAAACGTGATTAGAAATATTAAAAATGAATCTATATAAAGGGGTTAAACTCCACTTGTTTTACTTAAAAAGCCAATAGTATGGATTCTTCGTGTGGCAGGAAACGAGCCCTGATTATTGTTAGTCAACTTAACAGTTTATAAATACCTGCATTAGCTAAATATTCTAAAAACTACCACTTAAAAATATTCAATTTATAAACAGGTACGCCCCACAGAGAACAAAATACTTTAGTAGGATCATAATCCTGATAAAAACGTGTTCAAATGACTTTTTCCCAGCTCATCAAAGCAAATAAAGCCAAGACACCTTATAGGTTGGCTGGATGTGCTCTCTTCATCCTCTGACATGGGAGCTGGCTCGGAGCTCGTCTGCCTGGCTGTGTGTTTCCTGGACAGGGAGCTGTGGAGCTGGTTGACAGCTGCTTTTTCTATCTCTGCTTCTGTCTACTTGAACCTCAGTTGGCCTCAGCAGATGGCCGCTCACACTGAGCCTGGTTCTGCTGGAGGTTTCTTCCTGTTCAAAGGGAGTTTTTCCTCTCCACTGTCGCTACAAGCATGCTTAGTGTGAGGGATTGCATTCAAGTCAATGAGTCGATGCAATCAACTGGTTTTCCTTAGATAGAAAACTTGACTGGATGATCTGGTTAAACTGTAAAGTGCCTTGAGATGACGTGTTGTGGATGGGCACTATAGAAATAAACCGAATTGAATTGATTGGGGAAAAAAAGAACAGAGCAGCTTAAAAACTGGAGCCCTGAGCAGGCAGAGTTTCTCACTTCAAAAAATCCAACTTGTCCAATTTGAAGCATTGGAGGCCTTTTGGATGCTGGTGTGAACGCCCCATTAGGGAAATGGAAGAATATCCTCTGATCAGATGGCAACAAAAAACTGAACTTTCCGGCCGATAACTTAATGCTACGTTTGGCAAAAAGTAACCCATGACCCTAAACAGGCTGAGGGTTTTATCCTAGCAGGCCGGAAAAAAACTGGAAAACACTGGAAAAAAATCGAAATCTAGATAAGAAGGAAAAAAAAAGCGCATTTGTTCTTGGATTGAGGAGGAAAAAGAGACACTTTGCCAATGGATCAAGACAATTTACATTTAAAATAAGAAAACACAATTTGATTGTCTTGTTTCAAGTGCATTTTATCTAATTATATTGTTTTAAGAGTAAAAATACTAATTCCATTGGCAAACAATTTCATTTCCTACTCAAATTAAGGGTAAATACACTTAATTTAGTAAAATTTTAAGTTATTTCTAGATCGTTTTTCCATTGTAAAGTTGCCAACTTGGCACTGAAATTAGCTTAGCAGCAGACAGAGAGCGCCCAGATGAGGAAGGATTCCCAACACACACACACACCACAGCTGCAGGTGGACATCTCACTGACTGAGTTTGATAGTTTGCACATTAAGGGGGGATATGAACTCTCCAAATATGCAGAAAAACAATAAAAAGAAAAGGGAGTGGGATTAGCAAGGAAATGGGTGCAGCAGAGAAGATAAGAAAACTTGCATCACTTTCTGACTTCACAATAAATCAAATTCCCTTTCATTGGTTTGTCGCATAAAATCTAAAATACAATTTTTTACTTTTACATAATAAAATCTGAACCAATCAAATGAATCAAATTTGCAATGATATCATCAAGATGGCCGCCCACCCTCTTGTTCTGTGGCGACACCATTCCTTGGATGAAGTCACCGAGCCCGGCGTAATGCTCCTGGTTGCCATGGTGATGCGTGCAGCTTCCCCCGGGCAGACGGAGACTCTCCGCTCTGAACACAGCGTGCTGCTGAGCGTCCATGGAGTCAGGAAGAGGCTCTATTAGGTAGCTCACGCTTGTGTTCAGAGAAATCAGTCCCCTGTGGAAATGACAACATAGCCGGTTCAACCCTCTGAACTCGAAGAATCGGTTCACATCAGTTTGAAAATGGGCTGATAGCAAACAGTTCTAATAACGAAACCCTTTCTGTCAATTATTTCATCTTATTACAAGTAATTATTAAACATGTCTATAAAAAACGACGGCAGGATGGTGGTTTGTTTTGCTTTGTCAGATTCACATGTTGGTTAAAACGACAGAGTTGCATGTCTGAGATGACCTCACACTTAAAAACAAGAAAATCAGCTAAAAAAAAAAGACAGCATAAACACAATCCTGTTCTTTTATGCTCATGTTTTCTTTTCTTCAAAACATGAGCATGTTCATAAACATGCGCAAACAGCGAAAGTCATGCAGCTGCAGAGAACATCTGGGGAAGCCGGACCCCCACATGTCGGCGTCCCACTTTGTTTGCATTCCCAAATAGAAGGCTCACTCCTTCACTCTCCCTGCAGATGTACATCTCTGCTTAAACACTTGATTCATGGCAGCGTTTGTAGCGGGGGCTTCTCCTCTGAGTGCCTCCAGCAGGAAGCATCAGCAGCTCTACATCAGTAAACAGGGTCTCAGCACTAAACTGCACTGGATGAAACCATCTAAGAGCCAATAAGCAACTGACCCAATGGACTTCTTGACAGATTATAGGCCAAATATACTGTCATGCATTTGGCCTCAGCTTCGGCTCAGTCTAAAATGTTTGCATAGTCTATTTACTTTTAAAGAAAGAAAAAAAGGAACTGACTCATAGGCAATCTTCTCATATAAGTCCCATATACCGTAATTTTCGTGCTATAAGCCGCGACTTTTTCCCCATTTTTCGACCTTGCAGCTTATATAACAACGCGGCTTATCTATGGACTTTTACAGCTGACGGCCACTAGGGTAATACCTAAATCTATGGATTTTACCATCCACCATGTTCATGTCACATTTGCTTTAACACACAAGTACGGTAGCCGCGCGTGCGGGAATGCGGAGGTCCTCAGAAAGCAGACTTCTAACGCGAGTGGTACGAGACAGAACGACAGCGAGAAAGACGGACATTGAACATAAAAAACCTGCGGCTAATAGTCCAAAAATTACGGTAGTCAGTTTTTACATACAATTATAGACATTTAGTGCACATTTATAACTCTGACTATCTGAGTACTCTTTGTTTTAAGCATAATCATCTTATGATTCATATGTTTGCCAACAACATAAACGATCTGAATGAAATTCTTCATTCTTATACTTAGACTTAGGCAACATTTATTGTCCTTTTGTATACACAGAGTGTATTGTTACATGTTCTTATTTTTTTTTTCATTGTTTTTTTTTTTGCACCTTTGACCAGTTTAGCTGGGGTGGTGGCATACCTGTGGGGTGATTTTTTTTTTTTTGTGACAAGCAAGGTCAGGCGTGTAGGAGGCTGCCGCAGCAGCAGACCTTTTTGGGATTAGAAATGTAAGGACGTTGCGGGAAGGCTCTGGACAGAAAAAAGGATCCTCGGGATGGATCCACCCAGAGGGGAGCGTCGGAGGTTTTGGCCGGAAGGAAGTTACTTTTCTTGTTTGATGGATTCGTTTGTGGGAACTATGTTCGAAATTTAAGGCAAACCCCCATCACTTTGTGTGTTCCGTTAGATGCCCGTTCTCTTTTGTTGTTTTGTGTTCGAGGTTTCCTCTAGTCCCAACTCATAACAAATGGGGGCTTGTCCAGGATCTCGCAGACTTAATCAAAAACTACCATTTCAATATCGGGGTTTCGTTGTTTTCTGTGTTTGAAAGTCGGTGGTTGAAAGTGAGAAATTATTGAGGAATTCAGTGTTGAATCATAGTGAATTCTTAAAGGAGGGTTGAATTTTAATTTCAAATCAACGGTGAGTTTATGACTTTCATTTTTCTGTAGTTGAGTTAGCGTTAGCTTGCATGACCGGCTCCGTCATGCTAGTTTTTCTTCAGTATGAGCGCCACAAGCGTCACGTCACGTGACTAAGAAAACGTAACGGGATTGGCTGGGCGTTGGACGCCACAATCCATAGCTAATGTCTGTGACCTGAAGTAACCCTTCCCTTTTTACACTGAATTTAGACGCCGAATTTAAGACAGTGAAATAGAGCCAGTTGAATCTCAGGGGGCTGAAAATATTGAGTTTGAATTTTAAAAGGTTGAATTTTATTTATATGCAGATTTTTTTAACACTGAAAATTTAAACTGAAAAATAAGTATTGAAAATGTAATCACTTTGAAATAGTAATGTGAATTTTTAGCTTGAAGAGAAAATAACAAATGAAATTTCAACTGTGTAGAAATAATGACAATGAACTTCTTTTTAGGTCAAAAATGTGTTCTGAATATATACAAACATACAACATTTAAATTTCAGTGCCATTTTTAATTCAAATCCCAGCGACACAGATTTACTTCCATACTGAAAGCAGCAACCTGTTGCAAAAAGCACCAGCAAGTTGCTCCCATTTGATGGGTTTGTCTCCATTTTTTTACCGCGGAAATAAAGCAGAGAGCAGAAGCAACACAGCTGTAAAAGTTAAGCGAATAAAAGTTTGTTTCTTTACCTGAGCCCTGAACAGGTGCTGACAGCAACGCTGGAACCTTCAACGCCCAGAACTTCCCCATGGTAGAAACAATACACCTGGAAAACAGAAATTCATTTTATTCTGCAGCTTTGAGTGTGAAATTTCTGACCAGAGAAAGAAAGCACATGGCTTTAACATCAATGTGAATCCTGAACCTCAGATTTCCGTTTTCTTAGAAAAGAGTTCTGCAAAGTTTGGGAGCATTAAACTATTTCTTTAGACTCACGGTGGTGGCAGGAGATGTGGACCGGCGAGAACCATCAGCGGTGTACCATATTTCCTGATATCCAGGGGCCAAGAGCTGTCTGGAGGCAGTCAACACAAAGAAGACGAACACAATGAAATTACAGAAACAGCAAAAAAAGGACAGAGACCTTAAGGGTCTGCACGTACCGAGGAGGAAATTTAATAAGGAACAGCTAAAGGACATAAGATAAGTATGAGAGGAAGGTATTCCAGGCAGTCAACAGCTCATAAACTTTTTGCTTTTGGAGATAACCTCGCTGAACTAAACCTCTTTCAACATTAAAAAAAAAATATGACAGTAAATCACATAAAAAAAACATGTTAAAAAAATGTTTTCGCTGAAATCCTTCACCTTCTTCCTGGATCACAGAAATGTAAGAAAAAAAGAGCTAACTAGAATCCTCCTTAAGGACAGTTTAAAATGCCCCAAAGGCTTTTTTGGACGAAGCTAGCTATTGATAAATGTTCCCCCTTTTTTCACCTGCAATAAAAAGATTTCACAATTGGAGCAGCACAGCGGGATCGCATGCATGTCTGCACAAACACCGGTTTTATGTATGTGAAATATTACTTTTGTCTTATCCTACATCTGGATGTGCATTTGAGCCTTTGGACTCAGACCAGCGTTGATGCTTCTTTTCCTCTGCTGCTCCCTCCAAATGTGTCTCAATCCAGTCTTCCTGTTTTCATTCATAAACTGTGTCTGCCCTCCAGATGGTTTTATTTTCCTCTGCCTGTCTGAATAACTTTTCTTCTTTCCTAAGGTCTAACCTAGAACCCCTAAAACAAGCAAAAAAAAAAAGCAGCAAAAAAAAAACATTTGAAGCTTTTGTTTTAAATACTGTAAAGTTATCCTTATTGACAGGGGCGCCACCAGGAATTTGGGGCCCAATGAAATACATTGATAATGGGCCCCCCCACCAAAGAAACGTATGCAAGCTTTAAAACCGCTATCAAGATGAACTGAAGAGTATAATTTACATTTTCAATGTCATTTTTATTTGCAAAATTACTACAAAGGAAAATTTTCAGAACATGAAAAAGTTAAACATACATTAACTTTAAATTGGATAAACTGGTGGATAAAACCCTTGGATGGTAAAATGATTCATGCTTTGCTTCACTGTTTACTACAAAAAAAATTATTAATTTTACTTTTATGTCTAATCTCTATGGGGGGGAGCATATCTTTTCTTCTTCTTTTAGGCCCCGCCTCTATCAATGGCCCTTACAATTTTCCTAACATTTCCCCTAATATGGTGGCCCTGCTTATTGAAAAAAGATAGCTTTGTGAAGTCAGAATTTTGCCCAAAGTGTGCACGCTCTGTGGTTAGAACTCACGCTCGTCAAGTCGTGTTCTTTACACTATTCCCAGGATCAACACAGATCTTGGCAAAACATCATTTTTCTATGCAGCACTATGGTCGTGGCACAATATTCAAAACTCCCTGCAACTACGGACTCTTATTCCACTACAACATTTTAAATCACTATAGAAAACCGCCTGCACAGAGAATTGTAACTGTTATTCTAGAGTCTAGTTTATGATTGATTTTATCATGTTGTCCTGTGTTTTTATACGTCTTGCTGTGCTGCTGCGTCTTGGCCAGGTCTCCCTCGAAAAAGAGATTTTATCTCAAGGGACTTCCTGGTAAAATAAAGGTTAAATAAAAAAATAAATAAACGTATAGTAAATAATCCTATAAGCAGCTTCTTAACATTTTGAATGTTCTGCATGCAGATTCAATACCGTAAACGCAGAATACGTCACAACCTCATGCTCCTCTTATAGCTTTTTATGCCCCTGTAGATTCTCACCTGCATGTCTATTTCTGTGCGTTCATGTCAACTTTTTCACTTTGTAACTTTGTACCATTTTCTTCCCTTTGGTGGTTAGCAATGTTTGCAACGTGTCCTCAAACTAATAGCTGTTCTCTTTAAGAGCTAAAAATCAAGTGAAGTCATCAGTGAATAACTTAGTGTAACACAGTCATGAATGTGTTTTGACAGCAGTAGAAATATGCTCTAAAATGACTAATGTTATTTTCCGGTGTGTTTTATTGTCATTAAACTGTAACAAGTACAGCGCAATGAAATTCACTCCCTATATTTAATCCATCCCCTCGGGGAGCAGTGGGCTGCCACTGTACGGCGCTAAGGGTCAGAGAGCAAGAATAGAGGCTGTAGGAGAGGGTTTCAAACTCACAACCTCATGATTCCAAGCCCTATGTGTCTTGGTTGTAGTTAAGAGGACCCAAAATGCAGAGGCAGAGAGGCTGAGGTGAATTCTTGTAGTTTTAATTAAAAAAAACACTAATAACAGAGGCAAAATCCAAAAATACAACTAAAATGTAACTCAGACCAGAACCACGGAGACATCAAGGGAAACGCGCACAAGGAGCCAGGGAGAGACGAGGTGAGAGGACAACGGCGATGACAGGACCAGCAACAACAAGTACCAACCAAGTGTGAGAGCAAAGGGAGAGCATATGTAGCTGACAGAGACAAAGGGAGGGCTAACGAGCTGACAAGGAGCAAGTGTGAGAGGAGACAACGAGGGAGCCAAGGGGAAAGGAACACACACAAACAAGAGGGCAACACAGGACGACAGAAGAACTAACATAAATCTAGAAATTACAACAAAATAGGAATTAAACCAATAAAACTAGAAAACAAGGAGCAAAGTAAAGCACAACATAACCAAAACCATGACACTATACCCTATCCACTGGGCTGCCTCTCCCACCGTTGCTAATAATGTGAGGCTTGAATAAACTCATTTATTGTTGAACACAGATACTTTCATTTCTAATCAGTTTGCAGCGACTCTAAAGCATTTTTTTTTTCCTTTTCTCTCCAGCATTTTTTATTGTAAGTTGACCATAAAGATGAATGTTGGATAAAGTCAGATTTCTGCTCTTAGCCCGAAGATGCTATGCTAAAGTTACAAGCACAAAAAAAAAAAAACAGTCCTTTTTTTAAGAGCTTGGTTCCACCGTCAAAGCAGCAAAAGTTGAACTTGTGCACAGAAACAGGTCTATATGCGAGTAATCTACCTAGTCCACCTGTAGCGAGGATCTACAGGTGGACTAAAAGCAAGAGAAGGAGCATGAAGTCATGTTTGTGACAGAAGAGGTGATTTTTATTAGTTCCAGACTCCCTGACTTTTATTGGTTCTTTGGACCAGTATGTGATAGCCTCGTGAGACCATCCTGATCTCGCGAGCTTTCAAGGTTTCACTCGCTAATCAGTCTGGAGACTCTCCGTTAAAGAAAATTTGAAGCCGTTCACCAAACGAACGTCCAATCAGCGTTGGCTTTGAGGCGGGTTGAGGTGTGACGCAACGAGAAGCGCGACAGTTCAGTCTAAAGAACATTGCGGCTTCGGCCGATGAAACTAGCTTTAGCGTGGCTATCAAGTAAGTTTTATCGGAATTACAGAGTATTTCTTCACTGAAAGAAGAGCAAAACACTGCTCTGGAGGCTTTTCTCAGAGGAAAAGATGTTTTTGCTCTTCTCCCGACTGGTTTCAGCAAGAGTTTGATCTATCAATTGGCTCCTCTTCGTCGTCGCTCTGTTAGTACGTCATATGCTTCGTTGATCTGATTGGTTTATTTGGCCCGTCTATCACCAACATAGCCAATCAGCTAACCAGTATTTTTGCCCCTTCCCAAAATTACTTCAACGGAAGGTTTCCAGATGGATATGCGGAGCAAATCCATTTGGCGGAGTCAGGTTAAGTATGTGAGGCCTGTTATTACAAATGTAGAGTTTTAAACTAGTCTTGCACCGATACCAGTATCAGGTGGAGCCCCGATCCAGCACCAAAATGGTGGTATTGGTATCGGCGAGTACCGACAAATAGGGCACCAATACCATTTTGAGAGCCAAAAGTTGATTCAACAATTGTCACCATTTCCAGGTAGGCAATAAAAGGTTCTACTGGATTCACTTGTCTACTTTTAAGGCTAGGCTTAAAACTTTCCTTTTTGATAAAGCTTATAGTTAGAGTGGCTCAAGTTATTCTGAGCTATCTCTATAGTTATGCTGCTATAGGTTTAGACTGCTGGAGGACATAGGGACCCCTTTTTCATCATTCTGCTTCATTCTCTCTCTATTCTCCTATTCTGCAGAATCTGTTAGTTCAATCTCTAACCTTCTGCTCTCTCTGCTTTTCCTCAGAGTAGCTTCATCTGGTCTGTTCCTGTATGGCTGTGACGCCATCCTGGAAAGAAACATCAGCTGTGCTGCTTCCATCAACACCCTTGTTTATAGATGCTGGAGATCGGCCTGTTTTCCAGTGTAGTCCTGCTTCTCTGACCGTGACTGAGTGGATGTGCTCTCTTCTTCCTCTGACATGGGAGCTGGCTCGGAGCTCGTCTGCCTGGCTGTGTGTTTCCTGGACGGGGCCGCCTTTTACAGCTGCTTTTTGTGTCTCTGCTTCTGTCTCCTTGAACCCCAGTGGGCCTCAGCAGATGGCCGCTCACACTGAGCCTGGTTCTGCTGGAGGTTTCTTCCTGTTTAAAGGGAGTTTTTCCTCTCCACTGTCACTACAAGCATGCTTAGTGTGAGGGATTGTATTTGAGTCAATTAGTCAATGCAATCAACTGGTTTTCCTTAGATAGAAAACTTTGTATCAATTTGACTGTTTGATCTGGTTGAACTGTAAAGTGCCTTGAGATGACGTGTGTTGTGAATTTGGCGCTATATAAATAAAAGTGAATTATGAATTATGAACTTTGTATTAGTCTTTTTCCTGCTTCACAAAGGTAGGCAGCAGGTTGACAAAACCATGATGGCAATTATTTTACATCCAAGTACTATGTAGTTTTTCATATATACATGCACACAAAAATTTCAAACAGATAATGCACAGCCAGGTATCGAGTATCGGTATTATGGCCAAAAAATGGCATCAGCACAACACTACCGTAGTTTAAACAGATGCTGGTCTGAAGTTTGAATCTCACATCAGAGCTGCTGTAAAATCCAGTTGAGTCAGCTAGCAAAAGAAAAGCCTGTCTTCTCACGTCACCTTTTGGAAAGTTTTCCTTGCCTTT